ATAATGACAGAGAGCTGTATTTTGAAGAATGTGGCGAAACATTTCAGGGCTGTGTGGAAACGCTGCGCTCCCCCTTCTCACAGATGCTGCAGCTGTTGGGAGTATTTTTCTCAATGGCTTTCTTTCTCTCAGTCTCGTGGAAAGCCCTCAGTGTTTGATTGCTGTTAATTCTTGTGCTTGCTCACAGCTCATACATATCTTGTTCCAGATCAGCTGGCTGTTTTGAGAAACACCTGACTGGAAAGTGTGGTCCCGGCTTACAGTTATGCAGGTTGGTTTTTGTTTGTCTAAAGTGAAAGGTGAGTAAGAATAACATGTGCTTAATAATGTTGGCTTGTGCTGATCTTTCCTTCCTGCTTCCCCTGTGGAAAAGTGGGGAAAAAAAGAAGTAACATGCTGTAGCCTGTTACAAAACAGACTTCCAAATTTGGTCAAACTGACTCACTCATATTCGTCTCTCATTTCAGTTTTCCCACAATTACTATTTACACTCATATCAGCAGCTCTTCATGTTAAGGTTTGCCAATTTTAGGTCATTTCCATTTTGTATAATGTATTATGTGCCAAAATAAACTGCTCACTCTTTTATATTTAAAGTTTTCTTGAGCTTGTACCACTGAGTGGTACATGCTGCTCCAAGTAAATAGATACAGCAAAATCTTAGGTTTGTATGAATTTTAAAAGTTTGGTATGAACACCTTGAATCTTTATCACAGCCTGAACTCTGTTCGGCAAGCTTTGTTATAATTTCTTTAAGTAGTCTTCAGGAATTGTTCTCCAGGCTTCTCGAAGCACATTCAAAGTTAATCTTTGGATGTTGGCTGTCTTCTGTTCCTTTCTCTGTCAGGATGATCCCTTCAATAATATTGAAATTAAAAATTTGGATTTATAAGATCTGCTGGCACTGATTTTCAGTCGATTTGGGATACCTCAGTCTTTTCTCCCTGGTGATCTTTCCGTAAGAATGGTTTTTGTTACAACCCCATGCCACACACAAAAAACGACTTCTTACTGTAGCTTTGTGCGTGTGTGTGTGTCTCTGTGTGTTTGTAGATTTAGTTAAAGAAATTGGAACAAATGTTGTGCTTTTGTAATAGGCTGTTAGCTACAAGTGCTTGTTTTTACAGACAACACACACAACGCCAGTTCATTCTTTGACTTAGGTGCCATTTCTTAAGCTTGAATGATTCTTAGGTCATTAAGTGGCTTAACAAACAAGAAAACATTCCTCTGAAAATGGTCAGGTACAAGGACTGGACTGAAAATGAGTGAAGAATCAGTCAATATCCAAAGAAAAAGTTCCTTCAGAAATCCTGGAGAACTGTTTCTCAAGACCACTTTAAACATAACGAGGAAGTTTGTCTCATTGGAAGTAAAATATAAAGTAATGAGGATAATGAGGGATGGATCAAGTCTTTTGAGCAGTACGTAATCATAGCTTCTAACACTTGCTTCATCACAGCAGTAGCAATAAAGTCTTAAATGTGTTTTAACCTCCACATACGTTGTGTACTATATAGTATATATTTTTTTAAACAAAATGCAGCAGCACAATGCTGTAACATCACCTCACAACAAAACAGGCCTTTTTACCTGCATGTATTTTCCTCCAGGGTCTCTGTTTTCCTCCCACAGTGCAGAAACATATGTGTGAATAGGTTAAATGAAAAATAGCTGTAGGTGTGACTGACACATTGATGAGGTGATTGAAGTGCTGTGCGAATGGTTGAATGTGGTGTACTGTACAGCACTTTAAGTGGCCGGTGCGACTGGAAAGGTCCAGTTTAAATGATATTTCATTTCAGTGTGTCATACTTTTTGACAGTGCTGTGTTCACTGTCCTTGGACTGCACAGTACCTCTGAGCTTCCCATTCTATACATTTGACATAGACTACAATTGACTGGTCATGGATATCAACACTCTCTCCCTCTGCTCCTGTCACTACTGATCACTGCTTTCTTAACATCTCCACTCACTGTGCCTTTCCTAAACCATATTGTTCATCACTTTGCCTCGATAAACGTGAGCTCCGTTCTTTGTATTTCTTTTTCACCACAAAAGATGAAACATTTACGAACCCCGTGGCATAAAAACAAAAACACCAGCTGTCTCTTTGCCTTGTGCCTCCAACTTCTCCATCCACTCTCTCTGCCCAACCTCCCACATTGTGAATTCATGAACTTCTGCTCTGCCATTCCTAATCACCACTCAAGGAGCAGCAGTGTGATTTGTCAGTGCGACGCAATGTCAGGATGATAGTAAATGGTCTCGGGTTTCATCTGTACTGACAGCACGAAGAGCATAATGTAGCCCCCCGGAGGATTTTGTGAGGTGCAAAGAAAGTCTTTCACTCATACAGTAGGAATGGCGCACCTTTCAGAATGAATTATGTTGTTAAAGAGTTTTGGTGAGACTGAGAACCAAGGAGATCCATTGTGAGATTTTTGTAAAGAGAAAGCAACATGTTTGAAAACCACACCAGTGTCGTCTGTGATTGGTAATGACACTGAGGAATTCACGGGCAGCGTTAGAGAAAAGACAAGTAAAGCAGAGCAAAGGAAATTGATTTAGTTTAATCATTTCAGCTCCTTGTAGTCCTCTCTGCCATTTCTGCTCTCAGGTCGTTCCCACTCCTTCTGACAAAAACAGAGAACACTCATTCACCAGGATGGAAAGAGGGCTGCTGCTGCTGCTTTTACAAATTAATTAATTCAGCTCTTAAACACTCGCCCCGCTTGTGGCCTCTTGTGTTACTTTCCCACGTCTGTTTGTCCTTCTGAAAGAAACTACATTTGAGGACCTTTGTCCAATCACGAGCCCCCGAGGACTTTTGTTGAGCACTTCAACAAAACTGCCAGTCACAATGACTTCAATCACAATCGGTCACCAATTTGTAAAATCTGTTTGTAAATTTTAATTGTCCTTCTCATTAGCAATTTTGTAAACCTAAGAAATGCATTCGTGTAATCTTTGTCAGCTTGCTTTCATTGTCATGTGAATCGTTTGTCTGCACAGTTAGTTAGCAGTGCCTCGTTGTTACACCAAAAAATCTTCTCTGCATACAATTCAAGCAATCCTTTGTTTTAAGTTAGAATAAGTCAATTAAGTTTACACTGTTATTGTTTTGACTGATGCATTTTATTAAAGAGTGCCTAAAAAAAGCAATATCTGCTCCAGTTAATGATTAATACATGAAAACATCATAAATGCAACAAACTTTTGAACTTCAAGGTTGAACTGATCATCTTTGGATTAATGTGAATAAACTTTATATGTTAGGATTTCTGAACCATGTTTTAAATGCAATCTGATTTCGGCCACCTTTTAATCATTAAAACAGAGAACACAGCATCAAACTGACGTCATATTAATGGTGGCTGAAAGCAGAAAACAAACACAGCATCATCCTTGGCAGCTTCTACTGACTTACTTCAACATAGATCATCATGTGCAAGTTGCATTTCTGCATGTATACCATTATACCTGATTTTTTTTCTCTTTGATTTAAATACATCTGTTATATTGTTTAAAGGTACAAACATGAGAATGCACAGATACTGTTGCAGCATTTCTGGCAACAGAAAACCAAAGAATGTCAAATGGAAAAAATCCCTCCAAACATGTTTGTGTACTAAAAGATACCGAAAAGTGCCCAAAGAGAAGGAGAAGTAGAAACATCTTTTTTCCATCAGTGAACATCAGTATTTACTCGAAATATGACCTCAATTTCACGAAGCACGATACCGCTAGAATAAGATGGAGGCTACCCCTTGTCAGCCTTATGGTCTCATTTATCTGCCGTCATTTTGCAAGTTATTTTGATAATTTGCCCAGTGATAGATTAATGTTTGTGTTACTTCACGAGAGACTTTTAAAGCAATGGTAATTACCGTGCATGTTTCTGTTCTTTGCAGTACAGACTGATTGAATAATAGTTCTGGACAGTGTGCAGTACACAGTTAGGTATCTCTCCAGTTCTTGAAAGATATTGCATTGTGGTTTTAAGTGCACTTTCAGCATATATTCAAAAATAAGACAGTAGGTGTTGTTTGGAAAGTTTAAAAACCTCCCAAGTACTAAAAAGGAACAAACAATTAATTTTAAAGACATATGAATATTTGTGGGCTCCACAGTGATGTTGACAAGAGCTAAGAGGTGGCTCAGTTTTATGAGCACACAGTGTGTGGGACTCTTTCCATGCTGCAAACAAGCATTTCCAAAAGACCCGGGGTTGCAGTAACACAGACACCTTGAATGGCTCTTTCTCACTCTGCCGTGACCTCTGTGTTCACTTGAAAGTTTGCTTGTGAATAGATGCACATAGGAGGAGGGGGTGTTTGAACTCCACAACTTAATTAAAATCATCACAATGGTGCTTAAGAGGTTAAAACAGAGAACTTGGTTAAAAGTGTTGTGGAGGAAAGAAATGTAGAAGGGGAGATCTTTTTGATTCATTCATAGTTCATAAATTTGTGGGTCTTTTGACATCTTCAGTCCCTTGAAAGAGGGACGTCTTCCTCCTTCTGTCCTGTGAAACCACAGCTCACACAACATACACAAAAATAGCTTTTGCTACTTTTAGAAATTGGGAGCTTTTTATTTTTGTGAAAGGAATGTTCTGGGGTTTATCAGTTGTTTGCCTTGAGCACATCAGCATACAGTCCAGCTTGTGAGTCCTTAGTTTTTGCTACACGCTGCAGTAACCTTTCTGTGTTTGTTATGTGCTGCAATTGAGAAATATTTACAGAATGTGGGTGGAATTAAAGTGGGGGTTAAGATTTTATTGTTGTCTCCAGAAGTTTTACTCAGCTGTGTGTTCAAGCTGTTAGAGTGCCATCACTAGCAGATGATGATAAATTTGTACTATAAGTCATCTTCCAGGTGCGTCTGTTTGGAGAGTGCTCTGTTATGCGTAAAGAAGGGGCAGGTCACTTCTCGCTACTACAGCTCTCTCTCTCTCCCTTCTGTTGAGGCGTGGTATTTCTCTCTCCGTGGCTGTAACAGACTTCTGCGGGGCAGCTGTTGGAAGTGAACTGCTGAAGCTGAGTCAGTAAATCTTCTCACCAGCCCAGGCTCAGTCACTAAGCTGGTGTGTCAGAGAGCCATTTACGTGCTGGGGGGGGAATTACAAATCAAATGCTGGCATCGTGAGAAGAAGGATCCGTCGGATTTTCCCCTTTTAAATTCTGTGGGAATATTGTGTTTGACAGCTCCTGTGTACAGCTTCAGCTTAAGGCTGGAGGACATCTCCTCGGGATGATGAAGATATTTTCACCTTGCTCTATCATGATTATTGTTGCGCTACTTGTCGCCACCGTCTCTGCCACCAAATTAAACGTGCCACGGCTGAGACTGTCCCACAAAGGTAATCTATCTATCTATCTATCTATCTATGGGCAAAAGCTCTCCATCACTATTTTATGCGCTTGGTTTTTTCCTGTTGTTTGTTTTTTTCGGGAGAAAAGTCTTGGTTGTGAAATATTTATCTGATACTTGGAGACGCTCCAATAACCGCTTCTTGTATTTTGCGCATTTTCTCCTCAAACCACTTATCGTCTCCGTGGTGGTCTGAGCTGGAAGAGCTAAATTGCTTTTTTTTTTTTGGGCTACTGTTTCAGGGAGTTAATGCGCTTTAGGAGACGCACATGTATGCATTTGCTGGTTCGCAGGTTGAAACAGCTCGCAGTACAAGCCGGGTGCGCAGCAAGAGGAGAGAATTTGGCTGAGGCTCGTCTTTCTGCGGTCAGACACACCGCGGCGATCGTCTCACTATAAAAGTTTATTAGGGAGGGCAACTGCGACGGAATAGGTACCTAAAACGAGGATGTTTGATAATTAACATTTTTGCTGCTAAATTGTTATAAGCACTGGAGAATTTAGCAAGACTTGGTCTTTTTTGTTGTTTGTTTCGTTTTTACTGCAGTCGTCCTCACAGGTGGATTTTGTGCGTCATTGTGTGCAAGCTGTTTCGCTGCCGTAATCACAATTCTCCAACAAATGACTGTACTAATTGCTTGCTTGATGATAGATTTTTTACTTGTTTACCAAATATTTTTCCTTAGCATTGCCATATCTTTTGGTTTGTTCCCACACATGATCTCTTCCTTTCCTGGCTCTAATCTAAGCCCGGTTGTTGTCTATGACTCACCCAAGTTTAATGATAATGAGGCAGTAAAGTGTATGAGTGGTTAGGTGATGCTTGACTGGGTTTTTGCCAAACTATTGTCATTGTTTCGTTTCACTCAGGCTTGAATGATTCTGTAATCATCATCAGCGATAGATATCACACAGGATTTCCTTCTGTTCATTTTTTCAGGGGAAAAGTCACCAACTGAGCTTGCTTGTCTTCCTGTTGCCTGGACTGAAAATAAATACAAGTGGAAGAAAGAGAGCGAGAGAGGCTCATAGAAAATAGGGAGAGAAAATGGAAGTGGTTTTTAATATTGAGGTTAAAGGGCAACAAGAGGAGCAGAAGTTAATAAATGGCATGAAAATCTGAATTTGTTTAGCATTTTAGGAGAAGAGGCAGGGAGGAGATACTTCTGTTACGGCGCAAATAAAGTCAGGCCCCAGGCAAACACTAGAAATGGAAAAAGCTCACAATTGTGACTCACTGTATTTGCTCATGCAAAGCCTAGTTTGCAAATCCCATATTTTCACTTTGGTGGTGCAATAAGCAGATCCATATTGAGCCATTTTTCTTCATAGCTTGCCATCGAAAGACACTCACTTCTCATTTTATGAGCATCACATGGAGTGTGGAGAGGTCTCTGCTTACGAGATTAACATTATGGAGCTTCTTGCTTCCTTTCATCATGACCTCAGATTTGACCCATCACTTTACCCTATTTTACATAATTTCCCCATTGATTCAAGTCTCTCCCCTCCTCATCTGTTTTTTACAAGCAAATCTCTCATAACCTCTACATGTGTCTCATCATTTCACTCTTTAGTCTAATCTCTCCCCTGCCTCACATCTATCCGTCCCCTCTATATTGCTCTCTTGTGCTCTATCAGCTGCATATGCCATTGCAACCCCCAAAAGCCCAGAGGGTGTTTGTATTCCCAGGAGGATGTAGAGGTAATTTAGCAACAGGAAAAGCTGTCATTATCTCATTTCAATCACTTAGTTAGTAGAAGTTCAAGCAGGAAGAAGGCCATTTTTACCTCATAGGAACCATTAAAGTACTTGGATCCCTCTTGTCTTCTTAGTTTTTTTTCAAACACCATAGTTTGAAAAATGTATTCAAAGGTTTGTTGAATTTAACAATTCAGTTAAATTAATGATAAAACATCTTTTCTACATAACACATGGCTATAGCGTCAATAGCATTTTAATGACTGTTGCAAAGTGCGCCCAGTTTCAAATGTTTTCATTAGCACATGCAAATCTTTCATTAATTTTCCTTTTTCATTTGAATGGCCTTGTGACTTGTTTCATTATAAAAACTATATTTTAAGAATTTATTGTAGTTTATATTTTCTGAAAACGTGATTGTGCAAAAGTAAAAATGTGTGTGTTCATGTATCTGTGAGCTGACGCTGCAGCGTTGAGGTCTGTAATGTGTGATGTGTTGGCTGGGCTCCCTGCCCTCCCAGCAAAGCATCTATACAAATCTCCCATCAAGCTTCTTTCTCTTTCTGTCTGTGTATGTCTTTCATTTGTTCTCCTCTCCCTTCAGCTGGCCCGATTCTTTTATTCGTTCGAATTCTCTGGGTCTTGTGTGCTCACACACTATCCCACACTGACTTTAGACACACACACACCGTGTCTAACACAATATTCACTTTGTCTGGCGTAAGGCAGGGGGTGCACTTGAAAACACAAACGTTCACATCAGCGTCCCATTCTGATCAGATTGCATTAGCTCTCTGTGTGAAGGGTCCTGTTTGTTTTTGCTTACAGCCTGTGAATTAATGAGTTTGTTTTCCTAGTTGGCTTTGCCTGGATGCTTACATGCAGACTGGTGTTAGTTGTTCTTAGGTGGAGGAGTGTAATCTGTCATCAAGTCAGATGGAGATGGTCCGAACAGATGGAATGTAAACCGTCTCCCATCCTTTCATCTTTTGGGTCTTTTCCCTCTGGTCTGCATCAGTTTCTCCCACCCTCCTCATTTATTGTAGTCTTCCCTAATGCCTTTGTCACATTCAGCTGAAGTGCTCCCAGTCCTCTGACTGGATTGAAAGTCCAGCAAAGAAAAAAAGCTAAACAAAGGAATGAGACTGGAGGGTTTAGTACACAAGCCAATGAGCTTTTTTTTTTTTTTTTTTTTTTTTTTACCTTTTTTTCTTTCTTTTTTTTTTAACTACAATGTATATATGTTTGCACTAGGCAGTCAAGAATATTTTAGAGGTTTTTTTTGTGCTTTAGTAATAGCTGACATGTGTTTAAATCTAAAATGCCTGTGTAAAATGCTAACGTACAGTCAAGAGAGCCTTTAGCCTGCAGGCTCAATAGCAAATATTTAAAGTTTACCGTACATGAACAATAGTCCAGATAGCTTAATAAAACTGGAAAAAAATGCAGGAATGGCAAGAAACAGACTTTAAATAGGGTTCTGATCCAAGTGAAAGTAGTGATCCTTTATTGATTTCAGCTGTACAATACACCTTAGTTAGAAAAAGATGCATCTAAAGAAGCATTTCAAAAGCTCTCTAAGCTTTTGGGTCAAAATCAAAGTGCTGCGTTGTTTTTTTAAGCCTTGTATGTGAGTTTTTGTCCAAGAATGATCCACTGGATCTTATTATGTATGTGTTTATGTGTTGCAATTACTTTTTTATAGTGGCAGCATTATACCAGTGATATTTAAATGGATCATATGAGGGTGAACAACTTCTACTTTCCATTCCAATCATGGAACATTTAAGTATGGAGGGTATGATTATTGTCCTTGTGCTAACAAAATGCTAAGAAACATCTAAGTGAGTATCAGGTATTGTAAACATGCATAGACGAGGTCATTTAGAGGTTTAAATTTAAAGATGAACTTTGAACTGCTGCTGTTTCACAGTTCACAGCTGTCCTGTGGTGCACCAACTGGAGCGCATCACCCCTTGTTTACCCACATCTGCAAACCTTTCAACACAGAAGGAGGCAAATCCTACATTTACTGAGATCTGCTGCTGCATATGGGATGATGTTCATGCAAAGTTTTATTTGGATTGGCACACAGATTAATGAGGAGATAGGGTACAAACAGACACATAAATACGCTACCGTACAGTCATTATAGTAAGGAAAAAAGAAGAACATGTGAAAATGACTCAGTTCTGTTGAATGTATTGCAGCCTCATAGATTGCAGTCTCTAACTTGTGAATGATGCAGTGCAGGACTGTTCTTTTCACTCTGATGTGTGTCTGCTTCTCTCTATCAGCCCATCAAAGCAGCTGCACCATCACTTGCTAGGCCAACAAACCATGTGCGTAATTTCCTCAGACACACAGCCTTCATAACTGCAGGATGTGGCAGACAGCAGAGTTTTAATTTAACAACTTGATAGAAGAAGCTGTAAAAGTCACCTATGTATAGAATTCTGAAACCAGGATTCAGGCAAGAGTTCGGTACACAGCAGGAAAATTCAAGGACTTTTCTTTGAGTTTCTCTTTTTGCCTTGTTACTTTGAAACAGTGGTGTTTAGTGTCTTAATGAAAAGTTGAAATGGACAAGCTCATGTGCTACTAATCACGAGTGCTGAAAGTCAAAGTCAGCCTCTGTTTCTGTTGTTGCTGAGATAAATTCAACCTGGTTTCTTCAACATTGAGTGAGTTCACTGTACTCAATTGACTTCCAAAGTAACCAGAGCTCAATCCAGCTACATCTTTGGGATGTAGTGGCCAGTAAATCTGAAGCTACTGTGTGACGCTATCCTATAATTATTCAGTAAAGTCTCTCAGAAATGTTTCCAGCACTTTGTTAAATCTGTGCGAATGAAGAATTAACGCAGTTCTGAAGTCAACAGCAGGTACAACTGGGTATTGGCAAGGTGTACCTAATGAACTGCCCAGTTACTATAAGCAGTAAACTGTTCCTAACCCTGCAATTACCAAAAAAAGCACACAGCACATTAAACATCCTATCAAAACAGCATGTAACTGTTGTCCATGTTTGTTCAAATGGGTCAGAGTGGGCTGTTCATGTTATCCCACAGACAGCCTCCAGCAATCAAAAAGCAAATGTTGTTTTAAAACATTGTTTTGGTATATGTAACCGAAAGCTAAGCTTTCACATTTGTTAGTCGTGATATAAGCTTATCAACTAAAACAAGGTACTTACAGCTTAAATCATAAGAGTGATGTAGAAGTTGCCTCAAAGATTTACACGTCTGACACTGTGAAATTATTTGCAAATGTGATTGGTTGAAGGG